GAGGTGTAGCCAAACCTCTACCCGGAATAAGACTGTTGGGCTGCTTCAATGTCTGCACTAAATCAGCTACCTGCTGCTCGAGCCCGGATCTGGTCTCCATGGCGTGCACACCACGGCCCCGGGAATGTCTGCCTCTGCTGCTCTGCCCCCAAGAATGATCTCTGGCATCCAAGGTATTGATCATCTGGTTCAGCTCGGGTGGAGTCTTAGTAAGAATATCCCCTCCTGGGCATAGAGACTCAATCACCCTCTGGCTGTCTGGAGAGAGAGCACTGTAGAAGTTCCCCACTGTAAATGCATCACTGAAACCATGATGGGGACACTGCCAGAAATATCCCATGTACCGCTCCCATGCATCACAAAGTGAATCATCTGTCTCTTGGCTGAAGTGAGTGATCTCCCGCTCGATCTCTGTAGTCTTCGATGCCGGATAGTACCTGTGCACAAATTTGTCAGCCAGATCATCCCAAGAGGTGATGGACAATGGGGGCTGGGTCTCCAACCACCTCTTAGCATTCCCCGCCAGAGAATGAGGGAAAAGGTGAAGGTGGATTGCATCATCAGGGACACCATTAAGCTTGAACCCGTTCGTTAGCTGCAGAAAACGGGAAAGATGCACCCTGGCCTCCTCATCCTTCAAGCCATGGAACTGGATAGAGGATGTAATGAGCTGAATACAGCATGGCTTGATCTCGAAGTCATTTGCTGGAAAAGGCGGGTAGAGGATGACCGGGCGGATGTCAGCAATCCGTGGAGTGTAGTAGTACTCCAAGGTGGGACCCGGTGGCGGTGGATGATGATGATGAACCCCATGATCCTGGGGTATGGGGTTGTTCCCCAGGACATGATTTCCCGGGGGAGCCTGCTGAGGATTCCCCTGGTGTGGATTGTATTCTCCGTCCATCCCGTACTCTTCCTCAGAATTGCTGCTCAGGTGGCCGTCTATGCGCTCTTCCGTAGCGAGTCTAGCTCGCTGTTGTCTCCTGAGTTGGCGACAGGTGCGGTCAATCTCTGGATTCAACGGCAGTATACCTCCCGACTGGCTACGGGTCATGCACTACCTGCACACACTCAAGCAAGAAAACCCGTGAAGGCACAAGTGGGACAAAGCAAACAAAGCGAAAAGAAAAGCTAAATTAACAGAAATCACTTTTCTTCAACAACCTAGCCGTCCCCGGCAACGGTGCCAAAAACTTGACTCACTTCTACTGTCACTCCAGGAATTGGCCAAGTGAAACCACTTCCTAAAGTGTAGTATAGCGGGTTTGGGTTTAAATGTCAACCCGGGTCCTAGATTTGATGACTACTCGATGAATTCTTTGTTATCTAGCAATGAAATTTTAATGCAAGTCTAAACTAACAAACAAACAAAGCAAGTAAACTGTTGTATTCAGGTTAAGAGAGGTCACCCGGATATGGTTCCCCCTAGACTGCAGTTAAGCCGGATTGCAATTACCAAGTTCAGTTTCTATGATAGTTATACTGCGGAAGGTTCTTAAACAGCCTGAAGTCTCGACTAAAGGTCTTCAGACCCTCTCAATCTGAGTCTCTAGTGGGCGACTAACCTCCACCAGAGTAAACAGATTGAGGCCCTAACAACAAAACCTCCACTACCGAAGTGAATTCGGTAGAGAATAGTGAGTTGGCTCCTCGACTAAAGTCACCAACTCCCTACCTTCAATCAAGGATGCTCTATCAACCTAGGAAGATATTCTCATTCTAGGTTAAAGCAGAAACAACAGGAATTTGATCAGGATTTGTGCCATTCAATCATTCAAACCTCAATTGAATATAATCAAATCATAGAATCAGTACTTGGGTTCATACAATCAAACCTAACATACAAATCTAGGGTTCTCCATACCCAGATGAATGGGAGAACTACTCCATGGAGAGAGAAGCAAAAGCTGAATCAGACCCGGAATTCATACTGTGAAGGATGGATTCCTGCTCTTGGACGTTGATCGGCACTTCTCCAAGCTCAAGCTGGCCTCCAATGGTGATGAAGATCATGCTAGGGCACTTGGAGACTCTTGTTCGTCACTTTCTCTCTCTAGGAATCGCTCGGTCTCTCTAAAACTCGAATCCCCTTCTCTTTTGGCTGAAATCTACTTAAAAGGGCCTCACTGGGCAAAACACGGTCGAGGGCACGGCCGTGTTTTGCCTCAGCCCACCCATGTTTTGCCAAGGGTTAATTACACGGCCAGACTGTTGGGTAAAACACGGGCGTGCTTTTGGTGGGCACGGCCGTGCTTTGGTGGACACGGCCGTGTAATTTCTCAGCCCTGCCCGTGTTTTCAGCTCGTGTTTGCCAAACTCAAATCAGCTCTCGGTAGTAAAAGCACGGCCTAGGAACACGGCCGTGTTCTGATTTAGGTGTGCCCGTGTTTTGGCTCCAGCTCCGCCGAATGACTTCCGAATGCCCCGAAACTCGTGCTTAGCCTTTCCTTTGACGCCTGGGACCTGAAATATGACAAAGTAGCACAACCCGGCGTAAAATAGCCCAAAAATACACGACTATGCCCCTCAAACGGATAAGAACTAGGGGTGCAAATAGGTGCAATTACATCGTTATCATTTCCACACACATACTCTCTCTCTCTCTCTCTCTCTCTCTCTCTCTATCTATCTATCTATCTATCTATCTATCTATCTATATATATATATATATATATATATATATATATATATATATATATATCTTTATGGATTAATCCCCTGTTTCACTTGGGTATGTAATATCCCTAGAATGATAGTATCTAAATAGGTCAATAGAGTAGTCTTAATTGGAGGTAGTGAATCAATTGTGCGAGAGTCAACCGATTCACTACTTTGTACTTGTGTAAAAACCCATGAGAGGAAGTTCGAATTTTATTGCCTTGGTTAGGTTATTCCAATGGAGGTTAGTAGCCCCCTAGGTAATCTATTCACGAGGGTGTGGAACACTTTAATTGAGACTCCAGACTGTTTAACAACTTTCCGTAGTATAAACATCAATCAAATTGGATTGGGTGAATTACAACTTCACCTAACTACAATCTAGGGGGACTCATACCTAAGTGACCCTTCTTGATTTGAGAAAAAACATTTGCTTTTCTAATTTCTTGTTTCGTTATATTAAACTCTTCACTACAATCTGATAGCTAGATAATAGAACATTCATGGAGTAGGCAGTGCACCTAGGATTCGGGTTGACAAACTAAAGTCAACCCACTTTACTAAAGTCGACCGCAGTGGTTATACTTTCCCATTGTGAGAAGTGTTGTATTTTAGTGAGTCAACAATGTACTGCTTGTATGATTCCTCCTATTCCAGCAACAATTTGATTTTTGTTGAGGAGGAGATCAAAAGCTATTTTTGCTACTTCTAGAAAGGGATTTGGTAGCATAAATGAACAACTGATTCATGTATTCTTGAGATACTAAATTTAGATTGTAATAATAATTTTGAAATTCACAACCATATCTTTCAAAATAAAACATATAAAAAATTTGATTTTTCGTGAGGGTCATCACTGATTGATCTTTTTCTAAAGTTTCCGTTGATAATTCAAATCCAAAATACTCTCTTTTCAGGCTATTAGCTACTATTGTCAAAACTCCTTCATGTAAAACTTCTTAAATTATTTCATCGTTAATTACGGTATTGGATGCTAGTACATTACAAAAATTTTAGGGCATTCCCTATCATGGTAGTGTTACATAACTCATATGTTTGATCCAACATTAAGTTGCAGGCTTTAGCCGTTATCCTAACCATTGTAATCTACTCATATATTCTTTTGTATACATGCTTTTCACAATTAATATTGAGAAAAATACTTGAACTTATGACCGATCTTAAAGGATTATCTCTGGGAAGAATATATTTCATAGTCTTATGAGGATAATTTGGTTTACATCCATGCCTCTTAGCGACAACAAGTTCATTAAACGTTCTATCATCTACGTCAATAAAGCTTCTTCCATTAAACTCATAAATTTTTGTAGATCGCTTGCTAAGTGGCTAGTATTAGCAGTAGTCGTTATCTTATTAGGGTTAGTATGTATGTAACCATTTTCTCTTGTCAAAGTTGTACAACATCATATTAAAAAAAAAATTAATTTTCTCTCATTCTTAGTTGCATCTAGCCGTTGATTTAGGAGATTTTGGACATTGCCTCCTACATTTGTCTATCATATTCAGACATTTCTAGGGCAGTTTCATCAAAACTTTCGACCAAGACTTGCAGCTTAGTATAAAGGTGGACAAGATCAGCCAAATTGAACTTAGCATTTGAGTTAGATAACTCATCTTTGGATACCATGACGTCTTTTGATAAAAATTGGCACTTAAAACACTTTTAAGGACCAAAATGTAAATAAAAAGTTTGAATAGCTGAGAAGTGGATCAATTGAGCCAAAAATCTGGCTATATCACTTAAATTTTGGCTATGTTCTCAAATAATGGCTATTGTTGATAAAATCTAAGTGTAAGTGGTTAGATTGGTAAATAAGATGGAAAATTGGCTAGGTATTTAAACAATTTTAATTTAGTAATTGTTTTGTAAAATGCTCTTATATTTTGATGTTGTTCTCCCCATAAATGAAAAACATTACTGAAGAATTTGGAGAAAGTCATCTCTCCCTGCCCTCTCAACCCTGTAGATCTTGATAGAATAGTATGATACCCTTAGCCCTGACGAAAGGAAGAAAGAGTCTGGACCCTCCCTGCATGCCGATGTACAAACTGAATGGAAGTTTCGAAGAGTTGTTTTACCCAGATCTGACTAATCGTACCACACTCCACTCGTTTACATGGGTCATTAAACCCCTTAACATTCTACATGAGGGCCTACATGGAGACTTGCAGACTGCTTCCAGACCCTTAATCGATCCCTTCTTAATCATGGTCGAAATATGAAATTGGGCACTATGAAAGAAAGGGTTTGGAGTGTTGTATCAAACACGATGAAAGTCGAAAGACTATGCTTGGAAGAAGGTTACAGATCAATATGTATGTCTGTATAACTTAGTTTCTTAGTACATTCTATATTGGCATATATATATATACTTTAAACTTACACTTCCCCAAGTTCACAATTACCTCTACCCTGTACAAAGAAAACCCCTCAAACTGCTACTCCAACACTACTACTAGATGATGGGGTCAAATATGGCCATCCCCCAATGTGAAGCAGCAGAAAACAATTGAGAGAAGTATATGTACACTAAAATATAAAGAAAACATAAAAAGACTTAATCACTAAGGAAGTCCACTTCAAAAGGACGTTAGTTATCTTCAAAATTGCAGACAGCCCAAGCTTTACTTACCCCGCTGCTCGTCTTCACTAGATGTTATGCATATTACACAACAAACAAAGAGAAAGCATGGGATTAGGATTACATATGTGTCAAAGGACAAATAAACCTAACCCAGGGAAGAACTAATTAGAGAAATGAACCTGGTTTGGGGCCTCCTGAACCCGGGATGGTCTCGGCCACATCATTGACCCGTGTTACTGCTAAACCTGGTCGAAGTTCATGTGAAGTCAATTGGATCTGGCAATAAGCTGTACGTAACCGATTGTAAATATCTTCGAATCTATCACCATTCTCATCCTCTCTATCCATGTCTATCAAAACCTGTGTAGGTGTTAACCAACTTAGTAAAATGTAAATGTTATGGGAGAAAACCCCACAAAAGAAAACACAACACTGTGAGCCTAATCAACTTGGTTAGTCTACCTGAGCAGCAGCTTTCTTAAAAACAGGCTGAAACCGTTGTCTGCAATATTCACTAAACAGAAGTGTGCAAACTATGAGGGGAATGGTAAATCCGGATGCAACTGGGGAGTCCTTGATCCCGAAAACTCCAAGAGCTATAATCTGGGTCAACACTAGCGAAAACACTGTTGTATTGTGCACAATAGGCCAGAACAGTCCACCACTGTCATATTTCTTTAAATAAACGTTGAGAATCTGGATAGCAAAAAATAAGATCTTTTAGATAAAAAGATACATTTTCACAAATGGAATCGGGTCAAATGGAAGCATAGAGTTACCTGGTTTTTGTATATGAGGTAAGCCATAAAGAAATAGAACAACAAAAATGGAAGTATCAAAGGTGCCATGATCGAACAGCTGAAGCCTATGAGTACGAATAAGAGAACTCTTGGGACTTCTGTGTGGTATGGGAAGGCCATAAGCCAGTCATGTGCATCTTCATAGTTTCTGAGGATGAACTTCTTAACCAGGTTGCAAATAAATGAGAAGAGTTGCATCAGTTCACAAGCCAAACCCGTCCACCCTGATGTGAAAACGTAGGTCATGAAGAAGCTAGCCTGCATATATATTTTGGCGATAACAAAGTAAAATAAGGATAAATCGTGTGAAGTTACAACAAGATGAACTACAGATGGAAATATCATGTCCCAATTTGGATTTTGCTAGAATATGATTTGTTATTGCTGAAAAAATAAATAATCAGTTGATGGCATTTATAGTCCCAATACTAAGTTGATTTACAAATTTGACCTGGATGTGTTCCCATCAGAGTTACATGCTTAATTATCACAACATCAATGACTCACATGCCATGAGAGCCATCCTTCGCCCCTCAATCACATCATAATTAAATAATCTCGACATATTTAAGTTCCAAATGATAGATGCATCGTAAAAACAAGAAATGTGAAATAGCGTATGTTAGCATCAGTAGCATCAAGACATTCATAACTAAAATAACTACAAAAATCAGAAGTGCAAAATAAATTCCACTGAACTCTTAAGAATATAAAAGTCACCTGAGTGGGTATCGCTTTGGCAAGTTCTAGTGGTATGTCTCTTACACTGGAGAAGACACTTAATTGACTAATAACGGAACCTGAGAGAACATTGACAAAGAACACATTCAAAATTGTGAAGTACAAGATTTTCAAGCATGCACTCTTTTTTCGTCCACTTCTGGAGATGGGTGCCTCTATTGCCGAAAACAACATCATTGTTGGTGGCACAGTATACAGAAATAGCGTTAAGATCACACTAGGCAAGTAACCTGTCACCACATGATTTATATAGTCTCTGCATGAAGAGAGCAAAATGGTTAAGCTAAAGAATCACTTCATTCCACAAAGGGGATGCAAGTAGTACAAAGAAGTTGTAGTGGCCTACAAACATCAATAATGCCACATGTAAACTTACTTTTTTAAAAGACCTCGCAGGAAGGGGAAAGTCTTTGATAGTTTATCTAGTTGAGTCAAGCCTTGAACAAATGTCACTGGAACGAGAAATAGAAACATGAAAACTATTGCAGCCAGAAGTGTGGCTATCTTTCGGAGCCAGAGCTGCTTGTAGGGGATAGACAAGCTTGACCATAAAACATCATGTGGTTCGGGGGCTTGTTCTGTCACCCACAACATTGGATTTGTAGTCTGAAGCATCTGTGTGGCGACGACAGCAGCAAAACGAGTTTTGAAGAAGACAAAAGCAACAGGGCACTCCTGTGTTTACCACCAAAACATAAAATGAGCCAATTTGCAATTGGTTTTGAAAATAGCGATAAGTGATAGCAGAAGGATTTCATGAAAAAAGATAATAAGATATACGCATAGGTAAGTATGCAACCAATAACAATGAATATAAAGAAACATCCATTTAGTTACGATATGATAGAGGTGCACACGCAACAAACTCCTATGAGATGAATGATCATGATGAATACTATAAAATCTATCCATTTTAAACCTCACCTACGTATAGAAATCACCACTTATGCAAACATTTAGTGCCAACGTACCAAACAGGATCCCCTTGGGACTCTACCAGTCATGGAGTTTACTGATAAAATTATTTAGCAAATCATGTATCTATTAACACAATAATACTCAGATAGAAGAGAAATAAAAAAGAGAACAAATATTGAAAGCAAGGAAAACAAGCAGTGTGGCCTTAGATTCTGGTTGTCGTGACATTTTTGTATACCATCTTAATCAACAGAAGAATATCTACAGCTACTAGGATTCCAAACAATCTGAACTTTACGGAGTTCATGAGATCTTGTCTAGCCTGAGACATTTCTATCTTATATCACATGAGTGGATCCCCAAATGTAACTTATTCATCCCTAGATTTCAGCACCCATCTTGAAGGGATTGTTTTTCAGGGTTTAACCAATAGTATATGAGAAGCCACTTAGCAGCATGAACGATATTATTATGATAAATCTATGAAAAATGGGGATACATAAATGGCAAGACATAATTTCAAAAGGGAATGGAACAACTAAAAGATCTGAAATGAGAATCTTAGGCAATAAGTGTGCTTATGCATATACATAATCAACTAATCAGGAAGAATATATCATGAGGCAACTAGAACGAATAATAATCTTGTTTTGTTAAATGAGAATCTTAGGCAATAAGTGTGCTTATGCATAGACCTAATCAACTAATCAGGAAGAATATATCATGAGGCAACTAGAACGAATAATAATCTTGTTTTGTTAAATTGAGGGGATGCCACGAGGTACAAGTATGGTTAAGCTAGGTGGAAAGTCCAAGGCAAAGAATACCAAAAAAGGTGCATGCAGTGTCAAGATTCTTACATTATCTGGTGGAGCAATTTCAAAATCAGAATATCTGATACTCTCATCAACACTTTCTGGTTGGTCAGATAGAATGTGAAAGGAAAGTGTACTTGAGGTACAAAAACAAAATGGCTTTAAACTTCGTCCATCAGATGAAACAGCACTAAGCATCTTGCACATCTTCTCCGCCTCATCCTTCAAAGAGATCATCCCCATAAATCACAAAATGGCACTAAATAGTGAAACTGATTTAAGCAAGGGGAACACAAAGCTTAAAGTCTAAAACACATGTATGTAACCCGTGTGCACAATTGCATATTAGACTAACCGAGCTGAAAAAATACGACCCACAAGACCTCGGATGTCGGATGCATACATACTAAATTGTACTTTTTTATGAATGAAAACTACGAACGAAAATAAGAAAGAATTCAGTTTCACACAAGAAGCAAACCAGATGCAGCTGAACATAAGGGGAAACCCTACGACATGTATTCAAAATAGTAATAAAAAACTCATTCCAAGGATATAAATGCCAACAACGATGCTACCATCCACCAATAACTATTTGAAACTAAAAGCAGATGAGGAGAACATACAGTTAAACCATGAAATACATGTACGGAGTGTATAATAGTCGGGGAACAAAGCAAATAGTAATAACCAAAGAGTGCACTTATGGTGCCTTGCAAGTCTAAAACACATGTATGTAACTCGTGTGCACAATTGCATATTAGACTAAACCGAGCTGAAAAAATACGACCCACAAGACCTCGAATGTCGGATGCATACATACTAAATTGTACTTTTTTATGAATGAAAACTACGAACGAAAATAAGAAAGAATTCAGTTTCACACAAGAAGCAAACCAGATGCAGCTGAACATAAGGGGAAACCCTACGACATGTATTCAAAATAGTAACAAAAAACTCATTCCAAGGATGTAAATGCCAACAACGATGCTACCATCCACCAATAACTATTTCAAACTAAAAGAAGATGAGGAGAACATATAGTTAAACCATGAAATACATGTACGGAGTGTATAATAGTCGGGGAACAAAGCAAATAGTAATAACCAAAGAGTGCACTTATGGTGCCTTGCAAGTCACTGTAACTTGCAATTTACGGTCGACCTAATATGTTGTTTCAGTGTAAAAATAGTTTCATGGTGCCTACTTTGGAGATTCATATCGTATAATTGGCTCGATGGAAATTGGAGATTAACGGCTTATTTTGAAGCTGGGGTGTCCCTCTAAACATTGAAGTGCTTGGGAGCTTGATAGGATATCCAGAAGACCATTTTTGAACCTAACCAAAAGGCTATGCCAAAACTGGGAAACTGCTTGAAAATGGCTGTCTGGGAACACGTTTGTGAAGCCTACTTTGGAGCTCAATTCAAGAAGCACGGATGAGAGTCGAGTTCAGGGGCTCTACCACATGAAAGGAGCTATGTTTTACTACAAAGGCAAGGCATTGAATGAAATATTTGATATATGTAAGGCTTTAAACAAAAGGCTCGAAGTTTCGACGAAGTAAGCTGCCTTCTTGCACAAGCAAGCTGCCACAAAAACACCCTTCGTAGCAACTTCTAGCCTTTTCATGAAGCCTTCCAGATATCCAATCTTTCATCCAATGCATTTCCTTTGTAGACAAACATACCGAATTTCACGTGGTAGAGACCCCTGGACTCGACTCTCATATATGCTTCTCGAATTGAGCTCCAAATTAGGCTTCACAAACACTTTCCCAAACTGCCATTTTCAGGCAGTTTTCCAGTTTTGGCATAGCCTTTTGATCAGGTTCAAAAAAGGTCTTCTAGACTTCCTATAGAGCTCCCAAGCACTTCAATATGTTGAGGGACACTCCAGCTTCAAAACAAGCCATTAATCGCCAATTTCCATCGAGCCAATTGTAAGATATAAATCTCCAAAGTACGCACCATAAGACTGTTTTTACACTGAAACAACATATTAGGTCGACCTAATTCTAACTTAGATCGACCGAAAAGTGCAAGTTATGGTGACTTACAAGTCACTGTAGCAAAGTCCAAAAATTTAATGTACATACTCACCATCAATTTTTGGACAACACCAGAGTGGTGTACCATCTGGTGCGCCAAGTAGTTTGATGGATAATAAGTTGTAAAGAATTTTTTCAGTGTATGACTATATGATTCTCCTGGAACAAATGGAATTGATCGAACTAGCACAGTAAAATGGCTGGAGTTTGTCGGTGAACCTCTTAGGTGTGTCAGCCTCATCTTCGTGATGCTCTTATATTCCTGGATGAAAGGGCCAATGGTTAAATGATAAATTTATGTGAAGGAAAGGAAACTACCTACTACTACCAGAAAAGAAAATAGCGAAATTCCATATGTTGGATTCCTTACAAAGTATAGAAGAGCGCAAGTTGTACAAGATATTGTGTATAATGCAAGACAATGAGCCCAAAGCCTGAAAATGCAATAGAGGGCAATTGGTAAACCACATATTTGTAAAATCATATTAGTAATCAATTGCATAAACTTCCAATGATAATTAGGAAAGAAACCCAAAAATTCTCAAGTTAAGACAAAAACATTCTTGGTTTCTCCTAGTGGAATATCGTGCAACTCATTTTTGTAAAAATATCATGTATATGCACTCCTTGATGTTCTTCAAGTAGAAATATGGGTAACACATGCCACTAAATGAATAGATTTGTTTGGCCAAGCAAAAGCATTGTTTAGAAGAACAAAAGCTTCTATTTTATTCTGTAATTTTGGACCCAGTCACACGAGCTAAAGACTAGGAGGAAACAGTTCAAGCTTGACAAAATATTTTTTGTAGGTATGGTTGCTGCAAAAATTTAATCACAGTATTTTGTAGTATCTAGATAAAGATCATACCATACTGAACCTTCCTGGACATTTCCTATTGTGAAAACATCCAAAGATTCTGCTCCAAGCCGCTTATGTGCCATTTCTTTCCCATAGTAATTCACTGGAAGAACTAGAAACATACAAATGACAGCAGCAATAGAGAATATCCGAATACTGCAGAAGAAAGACAAGAAGATAAGCATTAGGTGCAATTAGATGAAACTTTTTGCTTGAATTGGTAATGATAAAAAATAATTTAAAATCAATAGGAAAATAAAAGGAAAAGGCGTGCTCATTTGGTAAATGCTTCAAACTTCATACTATCATACAATACTATAAAGATCAAGAATTGGTGGAAAGGTCCAATGTACCTAAAGATAAGTATCCTCTGAAAAACAACAGCATCCAACCCACCAACGGTCAAAATTTCATCTTCAGTTGTTTCCCAAGCTTTAATCAACCAGCTAGTGGACGGAACAAACCTTTCCAAGGAGAAAGGATCATTGCTTCTCAACTGCACGGACGCGAGCCTCCGACCGAAATAGACTATTCTATTGCTGGGTTGTTTTCTTAGTACAGAGTAGAGTGTGAAAAGCAACACGCACAAAGCTATATTGATTCCCGCCGAAGTCAAAAGGGCGGCAATGTCCATACTCAACTACTATTCTGCACAGAGTTACAAAATTTCATCACCCTACCACCATCACTTGACACAGAAGAAAATTTGTTATATGAAGAACAAATGAAATGATCAAAGTTGTCGTTCACTTTTGTCACAGTAAAAATTTCCTTCACTATCCTCATTGCAAAAAGTTCTACTTAACACAGTTTTTAAGGCTCCCAAGAAAGAACGCCGACCAAAATCCGGGGAGAATTCATAGTACTCCGGCGAAGTGTGTAGAGAAATAAAAAAATCCCTAATTCTTAAATAAACCTTTCCAACCCTCTCGTTCATGTTCTCGCGTAAGATCCTTGTCAACCATTACCCAAAACACAAAATCACTTATTACTAGCCACACGAGCCCAAATAAGAGCATTGATGCCCCTCAAAAACCATTTTTACCTCATAGATTCCACAATCGAGAAACGAGCATTCAAGAACAAAATAGCGAATCGCTAAAACGACAAATGGTGAAATATGGTTGACGTAAAATGACGCGGGAAAAAATATCAACGAGCACTCACCGTTCAGGTCAGGATTCTTCAATGCAAAAAGGTAGATGAAGAAGAAAGCATGGAAGCAATAATTTATCAGAGATTTGTGTGGTGGTAGGCTTGTACGCCATTACCACGCCTCTCCTTTCTTTTGTTTTAACTTTGCATTCAATTCAAATGACTTGTTCCTTTTGGTTTGGTTTCCTTTTAATCCAATCGATTACATATATGATTTTCGAAAGGAAAACTGGAAACCAAAATCAAAAGCAACGCAAATCCAGAAAGGGTTTCGGGAAGAGGAAATCTAGGATAGGCGAGACAAACTTTTATTACCATAATAGTTTTGAATTATGGTGGACATAATTATCGAAAAACAAAATGTTGGGCAAACATAATCTTATTAATATTTATTATCAAAATATCTTTATTATAAAAGGAATTTCAAATCACTCGTAATAATTTTATTACACCGTTTCTTTCTCTCTCCTTGTATAGACAAGCTGGCACTTTTACGGTTCATATTCTTTGGGGGAATTCTTCATTTGTTTTCCCTTTTCTTTATGAGAAATTAATTTTTTTATTACACAAGACAGTTTATGTTATATCACATTACGGTGGAACTCAGATCACGACGTTGTCTGGAGTAGGGGTGTGCATTCAGATCGGACCAAATTCAGGAGAATCACGGTCCAATAGTAAGATACTTCTATTGACCAAGGACCAGACCGATAATGCATATGGTCCGCTTTGATCCACTTTTCAAGTATTATATAATTTGTAAAACCAAAGACCAAACTATATTAAACTCGGTTCCGTCTGATCTAGTCCAAAATTCGGTTTGGTTCAGACAAAACCGATGAACAACCCTAGTGTGGATAATGCATTCTGTGCGGATAACTTTTTTATAATTGGGGAACGACATAGTAGGTCGCCAAGTGGATGTAATTTGAGAATGGCAGGCCCAAGGATGCCAAGCCTATTTCATAGTGTTAAAAAAAGATTGGATAAAGTACAATATTACACTACGAAGAAGATCCATAACAAATACAATCTTCTTCCTTTTTAGAATTAGGACCATCTTTAAGAAGTTGTTTCCAAGTTCAAAATTTTGAATGTTTATTTGACATAATAGCCTCAGCAAAAGTGATTTTCCTTCAATATTGAGTGTGAAAATTTCAAATCTTCTTGATCATAGGCCCTAATCTAGTTTTAGGTAGAATTCATCATTTTAATTAAATAATATGTTCATTACTTTAATATAGGTACTAGTAATGAATTAACAAGAATATTTTATAAAAAAATTTTTTGTTAATTATGTTGTTATCTATGACAAGAAAAAAATAATAATTGGTTTAGAAAACCATAGATTCATCACATGTTTGTCACATTGAGTACTTCCATCATTTATTCGTCCAAATTTAATCATAATGAGGGGTGTTATTAACAGTTCAGGGTTCATTCAGTAATCATAATGAGCAGTGTCATCTATTGTCAATAAAAATTTAACCATACTATTGCATAAGGAATCATTTTGAGCTTCTAAAAAGGAACTCTTAAACTTGGTCATTCTACTCATCCACCATTCAAACTTCTTTCTTGAAAATAAAATCATTCTACCTTCATAAATCTCTCTAGCCCACCAAAATTATTTTGCGTTCATGGATTTTCCTGTTAGAGAAATTGATGAGTGCAGAAGGAAGATGATAAGAGGCAAAGAGAAGTTGATGATTGAAAATGAGAGTATGAGTGTCAACTTGAACGCGAACGTACAGAGATGTTCATGATGTACGGAACTATCATGCACCAACATCAAGCAACGTCATCTTGTTAGTGGCAATCCAAAACAAAAGCCTACTCTTTATAGTTGGCTTTTCCATCATTGCCCGTTATCGAGCCTTATGTTTTTCTTTTGCATAATTGAAGAATACTTTTTGATCTTTCATCCACTCTTCAATCTTAGGGCTTCCGTATCAACTCAAATGTTGAGTGAATTAGAAAAGATTCCAAGAGTTTGATGATGAGAATTGAAAGTGAACCCAACTGGCACCAGCCATATTTAGTGTGTGACGGATAAAACCTATTGCACCAGCCTCTTCCCTTATGTGAAGTTGCACCTTTGGTCCGTTTTAGCTATTCAATTTGCACAAAGCAATCCAGTTCTTCTCGATTGATTCCAAGCCGCGTAACTCTAATAATCACAAGTAGGATTTAGCTTGTAACAAGAGGCATCAGAGCTTGGTTCAAACACAGTGGCGAGACCTTAGGCTCGAGGGCCAGTTGCCTTGAGAACAAGATCAAAAGACCCCATCGATAGTCAACAACCAGAGTTAGGATCAGAATCAAAAGTAGAGCCTGAATTTGAGACTATATTGAATGATCAACCAATGGCGGGTCAGAAAATTAATATGACGGAGTTGTTACATACGATGATTACTCAAGTCGATGCAAGTTTCCAGGTCCAATTCGACCAACTCAAATAGGAGAATGAGTGGAAATTTGACGTGCTTGCGCCACCGGAGACTGGACGGAAAACATGGGGGCCCTCAAGATTAGGAAATCCCAGCAAGCAACCTTGATTTGCTGGGGAGACTCGAATAGCTTGAACGGCGGTTGATTGTGGCCGAACCCAATCAGGACGGGCAGCGTCGAGATAGGCGTGACCATCAACCACCTGAAAACAAGCCAGCAATTCCTCGGGGAATTAAACTCTCGATTCCACCATTTCAGGGGACGACGAATGCTGCTGCATACATAGATTGTGAAAGGAAACTCATCCTTTTCTTCCAATGTGGAACTTATAGCAAGATGCAGAAAGTAGCACTGGCTACTTACGAGTTTTCTGATTACACTGCTCAATGGTGGAGCAGGTTTGTCTTTAGCTATGAAGAAACTTCAACATGAAGTTACAACCTAGACGGAGCTATGAGGATTGTTGAGAGACCGGTTTGTCCCTGCATACTACCAAAGGGAGCTTCACAAATATTTTCAAGGAATTCGACAAGGATCCAGGAGCGTTTAAGATGATTTTCGAGAGCTAGAGTTGCTCTTAATATTGGCTGGCGTCAGGGAAGACAGGGAGGCCACCATTACAAGATTTCTCCATGGATTGAGTCGGAAGATTCCTCAGGAAGTGGAACTAAGGTCGTTTGTCGATCTGGAACATGTGTTGCACCTTCTCGTCTAGGTGGAGAAGCAGCAGAAGATGGCAACTGTCAGAAGATTCTCTCAGACAGTCAAACTAGCAGCAGAGTCGAATGTCAACCCCAATTCATCTCAATTACGGCTCAACAACTACGAAACAGCTCCTAGGAATGTTGCTCGAACTTCAACGTAGCGATTTGGAGGCATTTAGTGCTTTAAATGTCATGGCCGAGGACACAGGTCCAATCAATGTCCAAATCTTATGACCTTGATCCTGCGAGATGGTGAGTACGTCTTTGACGATGAAAACAGAGGTCCAATTGTGCATACTGACTCGTCGAAGGAGGAAGTAGATGAGGAAATTGAGGCGAAGTGTGGAACTTTTCTATCAAGAACGAACCTCAGAGCCTTAACGATGGAAGAAGAGAACCAACCTGTTTCACACAAGGACTAAGATTCCTCGACCAATCGAAAAGGTCGTCACCTGTTTTCAGTCCGTGATGAGGCAAGGGAGGAAAGAGAGTGAATTGATCGGAAAGTTGGGAAACGACCTAGGTCAAGCCAGCTATGCCAAAACTTTTGCTTTCAACACAAGAACGTGCGGAGACAAGAAAATTAGGCCAAAATGCTTTGAATTGGATACGCCCAATTCGCCCAGTTCGGGCTGCCTACTTTGAGGGCTTATTCGAGACGACTGGGATAGAATCAAAGGAAGTTCGAAGTTGGAGAATGAAGCTGGAGACTTGTTGAAGAAACGAATAAAGTCTAATTGGCTCGACGCTCCTTGGAAAGCTTTGAACGAGAGCCTCTAAGTAGCTATGGATGCTAAGTTCATTACTTGCGTAGGAAGTCAACTACTTGTGTGTTAAGAAACCGAGATTTTTTTTCTTTTTCTGATTTGGATGACTGTTTCCTTGTTAGAATTTGAACTTGTTTTGATTCTTTATTAGATTAGAGTAAAATTTTAGTTTGTTGTTTGCTATTTAAAGGCTTGAAAACCTTGATGTAAACTTAGTTTTGAGTTGAATGAGAAAAGTGACTTTTCAGCAAACCCTTCGTTGTTGGTCATGCTCAAGCATCATTTTGTGCTTCTTATCGATTGAAAACCACCTCAATCGTGGCTGAGCTTCGATCATAACCCAATCGAGCCTTTTCCCTTGTGAGAAGTTGCACCTTTGGTTCGTTTTATCTTTTCAATTTGCACAAATCAATCCAATTCTTCTCGATTGATTCCAAGCCGCGTAACTCTGATAATCACAAGCAGGATTTGGCTTGTAACACCATCCCTTCGTTAAACAGGTGTCCGGTGGTACGGGGGAAAGAAATCGTTCCATAACTTTGAAGAATGTTGAAGTATATCCCAACAATAATTTAACTTACAATGTTTTTTTTGGCATCCGCAAAGAAAATGGTTTTTGCTGGTCAACATATACAATTAATTTAATTATATTAATGAGTACAACCAAACTAACTACTTAATACCATGATGAGTATTATTAGAACTTTGAATAACCATATCACTTAGGTTTTCTTTTCTTATTAGTAACACGCTTGCTCTCCAATCCATGAATTCATCAATCCATATTGATCCATGAATCCACCAATCTATGGACCCAATCCCTTTGCCCTTCTATGGGAGATTGACATAGTCAAGTGACTCCTCTCCTTAGTCACCTGATCGTATCCCCTACGCTAAGATCATCCCCAATGATTATAGCTATAATGTCAAATTTCGGTGCTATATTTGGCATTTTACTTACACTAAAATGGGATTTGCTCCAATAGGAAGAGTGAAACTATCAAATATCTCTAGTTTATATTTTTTTTCTTGCTCTAATATAGTGTAGTGAAAATTTTATCATTTTATTTAGACAATTGGTTCATTTTATTTAGATAGGTAGTATAATTAATTAAGACAAATATTTTAATAATTATTTAATTTGAACATATATTTTTTTATTATTAAATATGTTGTTATCAATAACGAAAACATAAGAATTTGTTCAGATGTTTATAGATTCATTACATATTTGTCAGAATGAGTTGTGTCATCAATTGTTCCGTCCAATTTTATTTTTAATCAATAATGTCGTCAGCTATCCATGCAACTTTAATAAGAATGAGTTGCGTCATCAATTGTATATC